ACTTTTAAACGCGTTTAGTTGATCGCGATTAGGTAGCTTGGCGGTGCATACGGCGGTTAGTGTGACATCTTAAACAAAAAGTAAATGGAAACAGAAGACCATGATTTTGCTTAATATTTCTTGACTCTTACAATAGTAATTTTATTTTTTCTGTTACTTTAAAATTAAAAAATCGTTGATAATTTGTTTTAATTAAATTTGCAGACTGCACATAGGAAAATAACTTAAGCCAACTATCTATTTGCTCAATAATACATTTTTATTATTAAAACGCCCCATTTGGTGTACATAATATATAGAGTGACGTTAAAAAACACATCGTTAAGTTCTTCTAAATCAAACTTTATAAGTCCAATAATTTTATCAATATTAATTAAGTTAACACAGTCAAAGTCCAACACTATATTAATAAAATCCAAAGAGTTTACGGTTACAACAAAATACGGGGAAAAAACCTTAACCTTAAATCGTCTTAAATCATAACAAACTGCTAGGTTCGAATCGCCGCAATCGATAGAATTGACAAGAAGTGCCGTATACCTAGTCGGACGCTTGTGAGAAACTTCCGCAAAGCATCAAGCTATAGACCACATCGACGTGGGAAATTTCTTAAAATTATCAGACCCACCGCTTAAGTCAATGTATACTTTGGACAAGAGACGGATATCAGACAACTGTCAGAAATATATTGGATTGTTATGAATCAAATGGTGAATTTTTAAATTTGAATAGTTTAAAAGCCGATTGGCTCAAGTTTCCCGCGTTGATTCGTTGGGCATCATCGATAAGTCGACGGGGCATCGACCGTGGCGTGCTCGACAGGGAGTGGTAGCTGTCGCCATCATCGGCCAATCGGTATTTCATACGGATTGTAGTGCGTCTCGGCCATTGGTCTCCGATTTGTCTGAATTTCTCGACCAATCATTGGGAAAGTGCATGGTAAATTATCCAATGTAAGTTCACAAATTATCACAATGGTTCTTTGGGGGATTTGAAGTGTGCTTTGAATGTTCTCGGCGTATTTTGTGATTATTCTGACAGACCAGCTTGGAACTCAGAACAGCAGAATGAACGTGACGTGGTGTTGCTTATTAACATGGCCAACAAAGGATTTCTTTCGATCCTCCATGTTTACAATTTGGGCGAATAATGAGTACCTTTAACTACCATTGTTTTAAATGCTAAGCGCATTTTATTATATCGTTTCCATTTCAATTCAATTACTCTTTGGAGCCCTTATGGATTAATGTTTGGGTGTTTCTCGACAAAACTATAACCTAAACAAACCATGCTTTGTTGTTAAATTAGAATTTCATCAAATAATATATTATCGGTATTTATACCTTATATATTTATTTATCATACAATTGAAGTTCTTTAGTCAGGTGAGTTCGGTTATCATTATTTTTATACAAAGGCTCCCTAGTCATTGGCGAAGACTTCAACAAATTATTTGCTGCCAATATTTTCATAGAAAATTTATCAAAATTACCCAAACTGCAAGTGTCGAATTCCAACTACAACACTATTATCATCTCGATTGATTCACTGATTATTTATTCATTATTATAATCTGCTGCGTTTGAATAAAAAGCTTATTTGTCGAACTAAATAGCTATTATGTGCGTCCATCAATTAATAAATTGAACTGTCTGTATAGGTAGGTAGAGGTAGTCGCAACTTTCATTGTCTGTTGAGTCTGTACTGATGTATTGCAATGTGGTTTCAGTCGTAAAAAAATATGGAGCAGCTTACTACTGCCGACGGACAGGTAGTCATGGGAGTGTCTCCACAAGTTCAAGTTATGCAAATGAATACCGGGCAAGTTATTCAAGGAGCTAATGGTCAGCAAATCGTGGTACATACAGTTCCCACTGGAGGACAGCTCCAGTTAGCTTCTCCCACTAATTCACAGGGGCTACAACAGATACAGGTGGGAACACTAGCAAGCAATCGGATCGTTCTATGAACTTACAGGAAATCTTGTGTCCAGGTAGTTCCTGTAAGTAGTTTGCAGCAAGGCCAAGTCCTGGTACAACCAACACAGCAGATAGTGCAAACAATTGACGGACAAACTTTCTTGTATCAGCCAGGAGGATTAATAGATGGAAGCAATTTACAGCAGGCGCCAACTGGTGAGAGGTCTAAGGGTTCACGGTTGAGAAGCGTCAACCTAGCTTGTGTATTTTTCCAGTTTTAAATATCAATGGTAACCTGGTTCAGATTGGAGGAGCTCAGCAGGCTACCACACAAAATGTTGCCCAAGCGACTTCACCCAATACATCCACCATAGTACAACAAGCTCCTAACGGACTAGCTATGGCTAACGGAAATTTAGTCATGGTGAGAAGTCAACCCGACGTACGTCCTTTTCAAGTTTTCCACTGATGAATGAACCTGTCCACTGATGAATGATTATTTTTTATTTCCAGATGGTACCTACTACCAGCGGAACTCAATTCCAAAGAGTACAAATACCAGGACAGGAGTTTCTCGAAGAAGAACCTTTGTATGTAAACGCCAAACAGTATAAAAGAATTCTGAAAAGAAGACAGGCGAGGGCCAAATTGGAAGCTGAAGGAAAAATTCCCAAAGAAAGACCAGTAAGTATGGAAAACGACGAAATGTTTTTCTGTATATTATCTATTTTCGATTTGTGTAGAAATACCTTCATGAATCACGACATCGACATGCCATGAATAGAATCAGAGGGGAAGGAGGTAGATTTCACTCGGGTTCAGTGAAGAAAAGACGGTAAACTTTTGAAAATTTAATTTTAATTAAATCAATATTAATCAATTTGTAGTGAAGAAATGGAGCGCGCAAGACAACAGTCTCAAGTAAATCAACAGCACGCACAAGTTCAAATCACTCAACAAATTCAAGTTCAGCAGCAGCAACAAGAATTACAGCAAATTAATGTTTCATATGCAAACATTCAGATGAACACCCCTTTAATTATTGAGGTCAGCATTCGGTTGTCCATCTTGAGTTGGCTCGTGAGGCATCTCACTCTTGTCTAAACTTATTTTTTAGGATTTTGCAACATCACGCATTACTTTTCGTTTGAAATAATTTGTATTTTCGTTTCAGAGTTTACCGCCGGATCTGATAAAATCTGATCCGTTGAACATAGAAACGAAGAAAGAAATTACATTCTAATGTTCCTTGACAAAACAAAATGACAGTGCAATGTGCTGACTGAACTAATTAATTCCTTCAGTGCTATCACGTGGATATGAACTTCATACAGGAAATTCCAGGATGATGTCCTTTTGCAGATTGTGGTGAGTTTTTGGTTTTACGAAACGTTTAATTATCTGTGGACGGAATAAAATTTCGACTAACTGCAAATGCAAACTATACACCTGAACCAATAAATTGCTCAGATAATAAAAAACCATATTCAGAAAATTGCACTCGGTATTTATATGTAAAGGGTCTGCTGCTTCTATTTTTTGAATTATCAGGAAAATGACGTTCTGTTCGGATTTACCAAGGTTTAATTTAGTTGTATGAATGGGTAAAAAATATTGAGGAACTGTGTTGGTTTCGCAATCCGGCCTGAATGCTCTAACAATTGTCACAATTTTAACAATACAAAACATTTCTAACATTCTAAACCCAATTCTACATTCGACAAGTTTCGCAGCTAGCTTGCGCCTCAACTAAAACGGTTCAATTTGTTGGAAGTTGCATTCTTTTATTGTCAGATGGATTTTTGCTAGTATATTATCGAGGTTGAGCATCGTATTGTGATAGATATTTTGTATTATTAAACATAGTTATTTAGTTGATCTGTGTATAAAGATTTTGTTCTATAGTAAGCACTCTGTATATTTCACTAATTTCGATCTAAGATTTTGTAAATTGTGTAAGTAGTGGTAATTATAAGTTGTGTATTTAAAAATGACTGAAGCAAATGAAATACATATTCCATTTTTCCTATTTTATTTCAAAATGGTCCCCAAAAGATAACAATCCTTTGTCCAAAAATACATATGCACTTAGTGTATTACGAAGTATTCCAAATGTGAATAATAGAACCGAGTTTCTGATGATTTATGTACACGTAGTAGTTATCGCCTAAACATAAAGAGTCCTTGTACCAGGGAATGCCATATGCAAAAACTATTATGTACATGATGAAGTACACAGTTTTTTTTATAGATACCAGGTAAATTGAATACCACTATTAAGTTGATGACTAATGGTGGTGACATTCTTAAATTTGAAACAAACACATTTTATACAGCATAGCCTAAGAAACATTAAAATCGCTAATTATTTAGTATTTCATAAAAACGAACATTTTTATTCATTCTAATCAACGAAACATGCTGCCTTTTAGCTGGTAAACTGGCATTTTCACAACTTAAACAATCTAATGTTTATACTCTACTGCAACGTACTAAAATGAATAAACTATAAGAAAACTTAAAATGCAAACAAAACAAAATACACAACAAAAACAAAATTGATTTAAGCCCTACTATAACGTTTGAGTTCTTCAAACCATTTCGTATAACACTAATCACCTGGATATTGAGTAAATAATAACATAATTCTGTAGTATGTCGATAAGCACATTCGACTAATTCAGATATTGCGATTTAATGTGTTTTCCTACTTATATATATAAAAAAAGCATTTTTTCAAGCACTGATTTTCGACGTTTGATTAAAAGAGAGCACGAAATGCAAGGCTTGGAAGACTATACCTGAATACTATAGCATGTAATTTGTCAATATATAATAAGAAAGAACATTTCCAATAACCGTATCAATTTTTCTGAAGTTAAATGAACGAGAAGAATAGGTTTCAATTGTTGCATATCTTGTATAGAACAGTTGCGCCTCTAAGAGTACTATTCTATATGTATATTGAAAATTGTCCATACAAGTTATACATTCATTAAAATGGCAAAAGTATATCAATTTTTCGAAATTTCTAATTTATTTGACGTGACTAACGTTCAATTCATTAGAACCGTTTTATTGGAATGTAAACTTACATCAGTATTTACAAAGTTAAAATACACGGTATATTACACTCATGAATACAAAAATAAATCGACATTCAGACCGATTTCCTTACTTTTATCGCCAACCTTTAAAACGAATATAATTCCAATCATGCAAAAGAAAGAAAAAAGAAAATATTTTGTCGCTTGAGGTCATAAAAATGGGGTGAGCGTTATGCCTAAATAAAAATCCGTAACTAATGGAAGGAAAATTTTTGTTACATATTTGATAATTTGTTAAAAAAAATATTAAATAATATATTTTCCAATAATATTAATGTACTGATGTACTGATTACCAATAACTATGAATTCGACTTTCTCAACAAGACATTGACAGAAAAATATCTTAGCTATCTATCAGCCTTGGCTCCACCTGAAAGATTTTACTTCATGGTCTCAAACGGGTCACTTAGAGGTTAGGTTTGTAATCACAATATTTTGCCCTCTTTCATTAGATAGGGCAGGTGTATAGCAGTATACTGCCGCCCAGCAACTGTATAATTGCGTTTTAGTTGTCTCTACGCGCTTTTTTCTTGCTTTTCTTCACAGGTTTTGCTTCAGTCCATGTGTCTGTAAAGGTACCATATTAAATCAAGAACTAATTTATATGGCAAAGTTCTTATACAAATAGTATGTATAATAAAATTACATTTACTAATTAGCACGTCCTTAAAAACAGATACAAAAAGATACTTCGAAACCACACTTTGCGGTTTTTATCACTTACCGCCCAATTCATCAGAGACGGGACCCGAAGGTCCAGCCTTAACGTCCAGTTTAGAAGAGACTTCAGTCCTTTTAGGTTGAATTATTTCAGCTTCGTTGTCTGAAGGTATAGTTACAACTGCATCAGCACCTTTTTCAACTTTATCTACTCTAGCTTTCTTCGTCTTTTTGTCCTTCTTTTGTTCAACAATAGGGGCAACTTCTTCAACATGTGCTTGGACCTCCTCGACAAGTAGTTTCGGTACGGAGGAAGGCGGCTCAGGCTCGACTTGAACATCAGGTTCGATCTATTTAGGCAATAAAGTAAAAAATATTAGCAGCGCGCTTCAATTTACACTACATTTAGTAGAAAAATTACCTTTTCAATTACAACAGGTAGAACTTCTTCCTTGGTCGATTCCTCAGCTTTAACTTGACTCTCGAGTTGATGTTTAACTTTTTTCTCTTTCTTCGATTGAGGTTGTTCCACTTTCTTTTTCTTGTCAGCTTTAGAGGGTACCGTTTCCCATTTGCCATCATCAAAGTCCGCTGGCTTTTCTGCAAGAACCTGCATAAACAATAATTACCAATTAGAAAATGCACTATTATGAACTGCAGTGCTTGAGAAACAAAAATAAAAATGCTTTTTATTTGAAAAACTTCTCGGTTCCCACGTCAGTACGCACTTTTTTATTGGTCTTTTTCTTAATCTCTTGCGCCTCAGATGCCTTCTTAATTCCTTCTGGTTTCTTTGTGTCTTTAAAAGCACCATCTAACTTCTTTTCTTTCTTCACGGGCTCTGGTACCTTTTTGGTCTCTTTCACAGGAGACTTTTCAGGTTTTGTTATGCCAGTGAAAACATTTCCATTGGCTGTTGGTTTCTGTTGAGATAATGATGCTAATTAGACACCTTTATCTGAATAAACTAGTAATTGGTCTGCTTATCAGCTGCCTTGGAGCTCAGAATTGGTCGCTTGAAGATAATTTGTATAAGCTGTCGTGACAACAGATCTAATCATGTTACAACTTGAAATTGACAACGTATGATTTGGTATATAGTAATAATAATTGGTTCTAGAAATATACACATATGTATGCAATGGGCCATTTACAAAAATCAGTAGTTTTATAAGGTATTACTATTAAGATTTGACATTCAATGAGTAGAACAATGGTTAATAATCTCCTTTGATTTGAACATATGGAACGAACATACACTTAGAAGCAATTACAATTGAAACAATGTTCTTTTCTAAACTAAAGCCATTGGCAAATGGTCTCATTAATAGTAGCAATGGGCAAACATTTACCTTTTCTTTGAGTTTTTTCTTTTTTTGTGGTGTTTTTCGATCATCTCCAGCACTATGCTTAAATTTTGGTTGCTGAGTGGGTCCTATGGAATAAATATACACTAAAATGCAGCTCAGTATGGCCAATCCAATAGGTACTATCAGCATTAATTGATTTTCGATCTCTGTGATAATTTCCATTGTTTCAGTTCGAAATTTGATTAAGAAACACAAAAACTGCCACGACTCTGTTTCACAAAAATGCTGTCGAGGCGAGTGCTGTATTTTTGTCCAAATTTAGGTGACGCGGCCGATAGCACTGTCGTGCACATTCGTTATTCACTAAAACCGTGGCAGCAATGTTGCCGGTGTTAATAGTAATATATAAAATTTCTGCAAGCAGCTAGCATGGAGAGAATGCGATGCTATGGCATACGGATGCCGGAGCTGACAAATTCTTGGAGAGGACTACAAGTTTTAAAGGATAACTCCCGAAAACTCGTAGTACCAAAAAAGGGGGTTTTTTAGTTGGTAAGAATCCATCACTACCCAGGGTTCGGAACACTGGGTGTCTTCGCGAAGATTTTTATTCCTCCAGCCCCGAGCATACAAAAAAAAAATAAAAATCTGCCAGCGACTACATTTAGACCAATGTAACGGAGGAACTGTGGGTGATTGATTGATCATTATCGTTCTTTACAAATAGTAAATCTAGCAAGACTATATAAATCAGCATTCTTGGACTCTCTCTCTTTTCTTGAGATGTTTCCTAGAGAAACAAACCGGCAACACTTGATTTGCATTGGCAACAGCGGATTTCATGTCGTTTGTCAGATAGATGTAATTTACCAATGACAAGTCGATTTATAACCATTTTTAACATAGATGCGATGCGTGTTCATCTGGTAATTCGGTCTTTCTTGAATAGTCGGGCGTGAATAATAGTTATTCTTATAGTTTTTTTCGGATCGGGCCTGATTAGTGTTTTGAGCAGACTTTGTTACAATTTACTGATTATTTTATTTACAGATAGCACAGAATTTTTGCGGTGCAATCTTTACATTTTAGGTAAGTCAAGTCAACATGGCGAATTCCGCATTGGATTATTAACGATTACATTACATTACCGATTACAGTCGCTTAAAAATTTGGTGTTAAATTAAATAACCGAGGCTTTTCAAAACCACAATGTTTCAATATTTTACATCTGTATAATACACTAAGAAACTGTTCCCTGTAAATATTGCAAACCCAATAAGTAAGTGTATTTACACGGACGGAACACCCACCGTTTTTAGGAATATTAAAAATTATGTGATTTTTTCAGGTATTTCGGTCTTTGGTAGATATGGCTGACGGTACAGACGTAGCTTTCATTCCGCCACCACCAGGTATATCGCCACCACCCTTACCCCCCGACGAAAATCCTCCTTTGCCTCCAAGTGCTCCAGAGCCGCCTCAAAGTAGTGTTAATATTAATACTAGTACTTCGACCAACTCTGCCCAAGCCAATACGTGGAATCAAAATGCGTGGCCCTATTACATGAATGGTGCATTTAATTTTTCCACTTATGGCAACTGTTACGGATGGGGATCTTCTTATTTCAATGATAAAATTCAGCCGCCCTTGCCTCCGGGAGCCATGGGCAATCAATTCATGCCCCGAGTGGCCTATGGCAATAAACCCATTAGGTTTCAAATTAATAGCAAGCGATTACCGAATCAGAATGCTATGAACTCCCCTAACAGTGGTGCTGCCAAAAAGAAGCGCAAGAAGAACAGAAATAATCAAATGCAAAATCAGGGTTTCAGTACCATGTTCACACCTCATCAGTTCAACACCCCCCCACCACCACTGCCACCACCAGATGATCTCAACAATATTCCAAAACCTGAGCCTCCGCCGGAGGTTTTGCCCCCTCTGCCTCCTTCTGATAAAACTTGTACTGCAAATGATAATAATTTCAAATCCTGCATGATTCTCATCGATGACAAAAACCAACAGGAAATACAAAGTCCCGTTATTAATGGTTCTTCGGGCAACCCGGCGGAAGACTGGCCTCAAAGTTTGAAGGATTATGTTCATAACTGCTACGCCAAATGTAAAACTACAATCGACAAGAATCAGGTAATTAATTCGATTAGATTAATTCTCCCAAAAATTTTCAGTATTATTGTGCAACTTTTAGGTGGAAATTATTCTCAAAGGAAAAATAACGCAAGCGTACCAATCGGGCCAGCTAAATAAAGACTGGTCTAGAGAACCCTTACCCAACATACACTCAGAATCACAAGTACAGCAGCAGTCGACTCAGATTAATCAAAGTTCAAAATTTACTGGACATGCCAATATTAAGACGGGCATTTTGGCACAATTTCAACAAAGCAGTAAAAAAGGTCTTTCTGCGGCTCTGGGGGCGCGCTTAGGAGGCAGAAATTTGTTTAGGGGCAAAGGAAATGAAACTGCGTCTAGGTCAAGGTCGCGATCAAGAACGCCAAAGAAATGTAGAAGTCGAAGCAGAAGCCCCAGAAAATCCAAACGATCTAGGTATGCGACGAATTGGTTTCAGTTTAATGGAGAGCTATTATTTGAATAGGTTTTGTCTACATTTTAGTTCTTCAACTTGCTCTAGTGAAGAGGACCTTAAGCCGAAAATCAAACCTCAGCAGAAAAAAGGTAAGATAGCTGATCGACTGGGACCTCAAAAGAGCGTAAAGCAGGGGGGCAAAGTGTCTAAAAAGCAAAAAGCAAAGGAGAAGAAAGCAGCATTTTACCAAACATTTGGGCAGGACCTGGAAGAAAATTCCGAACTTTTACAACAAAGAGCTGCACGATTTAACAATGTAGCTTCCAAGTATGTGTTATTCTTAGCTATTCGCATTGATTGGCCGTTTATTGAATTAAAAAAAATAATTTAATTCCAGATCGGCAATACGGTTTACCATCGAGGTTAGTCCTTTGTCGGACAACAAAGATTCCGAATTCGACTGGGCTAATATGCACATTAAAGGGTCCTGTAGAGACATAGAAAAGTCGTTTTTGCGTCTAACAAAGGCACCCGAAGCGTGTGATGTGCGCCCCGTCGAAGTTCTGCGACTCTCGCTAAACAACGTCAAGGAAAAGTGGTTGCAGAAGCAGGACTATTTCTACGCCTGTGATCAACTAAAGAGTATTCGACAGGATTTGACGGTAAGTTCTAATTGGTGCCGATAGTTTTTTTTTGAGAATGTCTTCAAACGGTAACTTTCAGGTCCAAGGTATACGAAACAACTTTACGGTTGAAGTTTATGAAACACACGCGCGGATAGCATTAGAAAAGGGGGATCACGAGGAATATAATCAATGTCAAACTCAATTAAAATCTTTATATTCAGAGGTGGGAGGTAAAAATCAAAACGAATTCACCGCTTATCGAATTCTGTATTATATCTTCACCAAAAATACCTTGGGTAAGTGTAGTTGTTTCAACGTTAATTTCTAGTTCACATTTCAAATTTATTTAGTAGGGTGATTGTTTTTAAATTGGTTTGTTGATTTCAGATATAATGACAATTATGAAAGCTTTAAGAAAGGAGGAAAAAGCCGACTCGGTTATATCATTCGCGTTAAAATTACGATCGGCGTGGGGTAGTGGTAATTTTCACAAGCTTTTCTCCTTGTATCTCGTCGCACCTCTCATGGCTGGCTACTTGGTGGAGTGGTTTATACAGAGAGAACGAAAAGAATACCTTAAATGTATTATAAAAAGGTACGTATTATTTTTCTCATTTTGAATTGTTGGGCCGTTCGTTCGGATATGACGGCATGAAACAAATTCTCAGAATCAGCAAATTTACTGTTACAGTTCATATTTGCCAGAACACTTGCTATTCCTGGTACTATTTACAATTTATGTCTTGTCCGCTATTAGTTTTTTTCATGTAGTACTGCGTTAGCCGCAGCCGCGCCCGTTAGCGTCGTCCATTTAACTAAGGTTAAATCTCAGCAAACTCACTAACTCTAAGCGAGCATATACATATAGTGAATTATTTTCCATTATGTTACGTCCTAATCCCGATGTGTTGTATGTATTACTTAATAATGTTTTCTCTTTCAGCTCTTTTTGCAGGTACTGCAATTTATCAAGTCATAAGTTAACAAATAATACAATTTATAAGCGTGTTACGCATTCGAAATCTTTTTTTAAGCAGTCAGCTTTAATTCAATAACAATTCAACAATGAATTAATGTTGACTGCGCCATATTTTCAGCACAAAACATTTCCTTAATTGCGTTGTAATATGACTTGTACTAAAGTAATGTTTTTATGTTTAGCTATCGTCAGACAATCACCACCGACTTCCTTACAAAAGAGTTGGCTTTCAAAAGTGAGGAAGACTGTCTAGAGTTTCTAGAGCCCTTTTCCTTGGTGTTTGTGGATGCTAGCAGGAAAGCTGTCGACTGCAAAAATAGCATGGGATCTCTCTCCAATATTTAAGTCAAATTTCACACCTTTTCGTGATGATTGAGTTCAAGTGCCACTGCCAATAGACAGTCAGTGATTAGTGAGCGGCGATTCGTGATCAATTTCCGTAGCTTTTTTTGATAGACGTGGGTTTCAATTGTTCTGTTTCCATTGTGTCGGCGACAACGTACTTCTTCGACCAGTTTGGTTTTCCAAAGACCACAAATGTCTCAAGGCTAGTGATCTATTTAAGATTTTCCACAACCTTTCTATTTTGGGATTTCAGTAGTATTTTTCGTTGGAACGAATAAGTTTTCATTCAAAGTTTCCGATAGAACCCATCAAAGTCGAGCCGAAGGAAAATTCGATTCAAGATCTTCTCAGAAAGCAGAGGTATTATTGTAGCAGCTTGCGGGGATCACATTGTTGAATACTTTCAGAGGCACATTTGCCTCTTAAGATAAAACAACATAGTTCAGATGTAGCAACATGATATTTATTAATAAATTTAGATTTTTTGAAATGCATGCTKACTACTTTCGAAGCCAATTTCCCTTTTMCCTTATGTCGTTTAAATTTTWACGTMTTCACAGGATAAAATCATCTCAACTGGAATAACCTTGTACAACTCGGTGAAAATCAAAACAAACCGTTATGGAAACTTTCTGCAATATATTTTATATGTAATTACAGTAACCACAAAATACATTCAATTCTAAAATATTTTGAATTTTTCGATTATTGGTGTAAAWCTCAGAACCAAGCCGTAATTTTAATTTAACCTATATAAATTAGGTGTTCTAAACGARTAATGAAATCATAATTATAAAAATCATTTGCACGGTTTTTAATACAGTCATACATTACACGTAAACACTATGGTTTACATTTAACTTATACCAAAAAACAGAACAATTAGATGGACACACTCACATAAATGACACGAAATATAGTATTATATAGTTAGATTTGCGGCTATTTTAATTGGCTGTAGAGCGTGTATCTTCTCTTTTTGTAAATAAGTATCAGCAAAAGGGTTGAATTCAAGGATAAACGTAGTATCTCTCCAACAATAGGACGCTTAGTGCTTGTTCAGTTTTACGAATTCTTCAAATGCTGCTTGAATCTCGTCGTCCATTTCTGGTTCAGGATCACATAATGCATCTGGATCGTCACTGTCACTAAAAAAAGTACCGTTATTCAATAGGATTATATTCATTATGTAATGTCAACGGGAAAAGGCATGAACAATTAAATTTACCTAAGGTATTCATCTTGAGTGGCGTGAGCCGCCAGAAATTCCTGTTCTTCATTGGTTAATGTTTGACCCTCCGCTTCATACAATATTCCAGTTACTATTTCTTCGTAATCATGGTCATAGTCAGATGCTCTGCAATTCAATATTTCGAATTCTTATGTACTTATACTCTACCGTACAAATGAAGGAATAAGGAAAATCGTTACATAAACCGCAGCTTATTCATCAAATTCGTATTCGCATCTATTTCACACTTACTCAGAGCTGTTACTCTCCGGTGCACTTCGGCCCCAATTGGACTGTCTTAAGTTGATCACAGAATTAAGTATGGTCAATGCAGAGCCAGACAATGAGCTTGAAGATGTTTTTAATTGCAAAAATAGTTCATTTAGAGATTGTGATTGATTTTGTTCTAATGCATAACCAGTTAACTGTAAATTAAAGGTAAGCAATTATTAAACAACAAAATTTATTTTTATGTCATACCTTTAATGCTTGACATACACATTTAATGTTATCATTTCCACCAACACCCAACAGTTTATTTAATGCATAAATCAACAGGTATCCAAAGTGGCTGAAGTGAGACAATTGGATATAGAGTTCCGCAATGAAGAGCATCACATTCTGTTGATTGTGATCAGTTTCAAGTTCTTTTTCGCATATGTCATAGAGTTTTGCACCAAATTCTGGACATTGTTTTTCTGCATACCAACACAGGCGAACACCATTGTATCGAAAATTTGGAGAATTGACAGCCTGTAATAAATGTATATTATCAGTTGTTTGAGCCAAATTGGTCCAGTCTTCTACAACCTCGCCGACCAGAAGATGTGCTATTTGCGCTAATGCATCTGAGTCAAGGAAATATGGATAAATTGTTTCCATGAATACAATTAAAAGATCATCAAATTGGCCTGGATAATTTATAAGAGAGGATATTATCTGGCGCAACCTCACTAAATCTGTGATGTTTGTGTGGCTTTCATTACTAGGATTGGCTGGTTGTTCAGCTTGTGGAGTGGCGTAAGAGCTACTTCCAGGACTAGAATACTGCAAATAAGTGTAAAATAGACCGACACAACGGAACTGTTTAGTTACTGAAACGATGCTTACCTGGGTATTTTGGTTTACATTCTTTGCTTTGTTTAGCCTGTTTTGCACACTGTGCCTGGGTGCTCCTTGCGGATTGTCCACAAAGAGGCCCCGTATCTGCTGTTGTTCAAATGTTCTCGTGGGCACAAATTCTGGAGCATCTGCTCGTAAAATTGTTTGTTTAACAACAGGGGGCTCTTCAGTAGGGCCTGCTTGCTGAGCAGGTCTTGAACTCTGATCTGAACTCTTCAGACGTGGTTCCCTTAAAGGACTTTGTGTAAAATCGGATTTGAACCAAAAACCTGTCGGGTTGCGCTGCTCCATTTTTGAGCCCTATTTTAAGCTAAAACACCTCTAAACTTAACGAACCCTTCCACGAACACAAGCATGAAAATGGACAAACGGACTAACCAACAAGAATGCGCATAATCTAGGACAGAGGAGAAAAACAAAACATAAAAAGTATGGTTAGAATGCGTTATGTACAAAAGGATGCGCTGTTATGGCTTTATATAGTGCAATAAAGTCCCACATCTTCACAATAACATTTACGTACCTATAACGGTACTGAAACTAAAACAAAAACAATTTAGTTTTTTGACCTGATCCTCTATTGGAAAAGAAAAGCCCATGTGTTTCTATACATTGCTTATTGTGTTGTATTGATCTGAAAAATTGCTCTAAACACTAATTTCATTGAACTTGCTTCCATATAAAAAAATATACAATTAAAGTGCGCTTTTTAGGGAACATTTAAATTAAGCGCTATTTGACGATTATTAGAAACATGAGCGCCCTCTGATGTAAAAATGTTTCGTCGTCATTTTATGATTGACGTTTCTCAATGGCCAATTCAGAAAGTTTCTTAATGATTTTTATTATTAACAGTAATGTGTATCGTTTACCAAAATGTGAGTTTATTCTCTGAAAAGTGGAATTTTGAATAATCAAGAGTCCCGTTCCTCAGTGATTTACGTTGAATAACTCGTCTAAAACGCGTCAAAGTACGTCGGATTCTGTGACATGGGAAAATGTTTGTTTGCAGTTTCGAAAACAGAAAATCTTTCGCATGCGAGTGCTGAAACCCGGTGATAACTGCGGGATTTATTGAAAATACTGGAGAGTTTCAACATGCTCCGAAGTTATTGGACTATTTGCAATGTGCTGTTCTTTTTCATTTGCTTACAGTTCCATGGTGAGTTAAGATGTGGGAATTATATTTTCACTTCATCAATTAAACAACTGTGAAAAGTACAGGTCGTTTTTTCGTAGAACAATTGCTTGCTTGAGTGCATTAAAGGGAAACATGTATCTATGTCTTTTCCTTTTTGTGTCTATACGTCTGTATAAAATGGCATAATACCTACATTTTTACCTGTTTTATTGGCCTCATATCAAGGTTTCTTAATGAACGAAGTGTTTAGGTGAAGGCTATCCAAGTGGTTAATTACAGTTAATCAGTGATCACAACAACTAGGTTTGTTATCAGTTATTAGTGCACAAATGGGTAATAATACGACATTGTTCAATTTTAAATAATGCTTTCATATATTTAGGGATAGGCATGAAAATCATCAATTTAAACACGTTTCTTTAGATAGGTACCTATTGTCAGATCTTCTCTCACTAACACTTTGTATTCTAAATCTATTTGCATTGTTGCTTGTTTATCATTCTGTATTTTGTAAATGGGGAAAAATTAGACAGGTACGATGAATGAATCAACACTTTTATATTAACCTTGTGATTTATGTGAACGCTTTGAAATGCACAAAAACCACCGGTCAAAATTCAAATTTAAATTACCCTTTCCAAAGCAAAAGTTACTGATTTCTAGACGAGACTGACCAAACATTTTGTAGTCCATAAATTTCATGCGATATTCCACTTAATCGGCTATTTTCAACTGCAACATATTTTTTTCCATAGAAGTGTGGCCGTTGAAATGTAAATGTGATATGTGCAAAACCACGAACTATACGTGCGAGACCGACGGATTTTGCTTTACGTCAGTGCAGAAAAAGAAAAACTCAGAGGAACTTATTTACAATTATCGGTAAGTTTTCAATTCCAAATTATTAACTTACATACTATTTCTGAAGAGATATACCTTTGCAATTTCAAACCCGTATTTACGTGTTCAGTAATTTATCAATAGTATTCCATGTTTCCTTATCTTGACAATAAACGTTACAATATTTAAATGGCACATGTAGGTATATCGGTATTTGTAAGTAAACAGGGTACTCAGAAAAAAATGTGTTCTTTTATCATGTTTTTCAATCAATAGGGCTACAATTATTGATGTGATAATATTATTATTATTAGCTATCGTCTACCTATCAACCTCCTAGGACAAATACATGACGTTACGTTTATATGGTGTTATATTAAATTATCTTATCTTGAAAACAAGCCTCCATTTAAAGAATGGCAGGCTATAAACAATAAAAGTAACACAAATAGGTACACTTCCTAAACAGTGGTTATAAAAAAGTATGAAAGAACCCACCTTATTAGGTCCACAACTAATATACCTAAGTACTACTTGATAAGTAATAGTTGTAAACATCTTATCCTGGTTTTATACACCACTAGTTCCTCTATATTGAATTGGTATGCCAGTCACCTTAAATATTCCTTCAAATTTCCTTCAAATTTTCAATGGTCCTATACATACATATTAACAGGTATATTAATGCTATAATTGTGGCAAATTTACTTTACTCGCTTTCTATTTCGCCACTCGAAAGGATGCTTTAATTTGACCATCAGTCGGATTTGAAATTCGAATTTTGTTTTTGGAACGTCCTATCGAAGTAAACTTTGGTTTTTAATATTGAGGACTTATTTAATGTGAAAGAATAAATCCATTATATTTTTCACCTGAAACTGGAAACGACCGTGGCTCATTTTGTAGTAAAACAGTATTGTTATTTTTTTTCGAAGAAGAAGATGTCTGCATAAAGCAGATTTTTTCCCACCAGAGTCCGTAATTCCGGTGACATGTAGGTCCAAGGACATGTTCTGTTGTTCAAATGCTGATTTATGTAATGTAGACAACACTACTCTTCGGGGAGCTTTAGGGGACAACTCTTTTGAAGACGGTAAAGGTAACAAGATGAGTGTTTGACCCCTTGTTCCCTATTTGAGTTGTACTCGTTAAATATCCTATTACGTTTTTTTTTAACTAACTAAATACTAACCTAGATGACTCACAAAATAAGGTGTTTTGGTTATCATTTAGTTGTAAAGTTATAATAAATCAGCGAACTTTAAACACTTTATTTTGTTTCATTTGCCTTGCTGTTCAGAGTGAATTTTGTGTTTTTATATACTTTTTCTATTTTACGACTGTTAGTGAAGTGAATCGAGTTTCTTTAAAGGCATTCCTACCTATTGTAGAGAAAATGTAGTATTGTAACATGTCAGCTAATTTTCTTAATTCGAATTAAGTATTTAACATCTTCGTATACACATTTGACCTAATTGTTTAGGTATGACGTGTCAACCCATGATTATGTATTAAAAAGCACATTTGCTTGAAATTTACTGCATATTACGAGTGCAACTCAAATATACATGGCGATTCTTTGATGGTAAACATAGCATTAACTGGTTATCGATTCTGGGGCATATTACCGATTAATACAGATATTGAACAATTGAAGCCCCCTGGTTTGAATACCAATGCAGATTACTGAAATTGATGGTCAATTTTTCGTCAATTTTTGAAGCACTTGTTGCAGTCAACAATAACATTGCGATGGGTTTAGTAAATGAAGTTTGCCAATAGATAACATACGTAAATTACTTATCATAACGTGACGTACGACTGACTGTATGAGATAGAAAAAAGGCAAGCATTTGATGAGGCTTATTAGGCTTAAATCATCTTGTTGATTGCAATTATTCGTAGCAATCTTTTTCATTGGGTGTGTTGTGTGTTGCAGTGAACAATGCACAACGGAGCATTTGTTATACTGGGCGAGTGAAAAGTAATTTGAGAAAAAGAAAAGCGATTTATATAAATTTATGGCATCAACATCAAACCCAACCTATATACATGTAGGTACATAAGTACCTACATAGGTTAATGGTTATCCAACTAGAACTCATGGAGAACCACGAAATCAATTCAACATATTTACAATAGTCTCGGTATTATAGTTCTTACTTAACATATTGTTTAACGAAGCGTTGACCTTTTATTTTCGAATCCGGCAAACACCGTTATTTTTGTTTTTCGAGACGTAAGTTACGTCATGTATTTTTAGACCTTTTGTATTTCAAAATGTACTGTTTGTTGAACTTTTATGTTGTGAACGTCCTTTTGAATGATGATTTTGTTAATACTTACAGCTAATTTAGGATATAATACGACAATCTTTTTAGTAGACAATCCTTTTCCTTCCATTTTCCTTTAGTTGACTGGCTACCAAAATGTTGCATTCATTTTTTACCGTTAAATAAAACACGCATTATACAATTATACTGCCTTACACAACTGTTATATTTAAATCGACCTGAGAATCATGTAAAACACATCAAAATGCCTTTTTTGACGCGGCCAATATATGTATGGGCAGCAAAATAAACAATAAAACATAGTTATTTAGAAAATCGTTAAATATTCTGCTATGGGATTTTCACAAAGGGTTAGAACATGTTCGAACAGAAAACATCCAGTTGGAAGAGAACCAAGTACGGTTTTAGAAAGGTTGTTGTTCTTACCTCTTCTTCACTTGACTGCTGCCAGGATTCCGTTATTATTTGTGAAAAGGTTGGTCCGTTGTGTACCTACTAGCACAAAATAACATTGTACTTTGTGTCAATTTTTCACTTTATCAACCCACCTCCGTTATTATACATATACATACTATATATAATAAAGGAAAATGAGGACAATAAAAGAATATGATAGAACAGATGACCATCCCTCTTATTCCATAATAAAATGTCAATAAATTCACCTTAATTTCAAATTGCGAGTGTCCAAGTTTATCTTATAATAATTTTTTTTAGTAGAGCACAACACTGAATGAGTATTGTCTAAACTTATAAAAAAGTTATTGTTCGAATTAGATTGATAATTAAGAACGAATTCTAGTTCCCGTCAAGAAATTTATGTTTTGCCATTGGCGGTCCAAAAAAAAGTTGTATAAGCGATATAAAGATTTGCCGTTTTTTTTTTAAATTATCCCCAACATTCGAATCCCCAAAACAATCCCCGTGTGCCAATTCCAGATGCCTGGCCAAGGACCTCGGACTGCCTTCCATCAACCCACTTCTATGCCACACCCCGCAGAACCAACTCAACAGCACTTTCGTGTTGGAGTGCTGCAAAAATGAGGACTTTTGCAACATGAATTTAAGGCCGGTCCTCTTGATTTCACCAGCAGGTAATTTTGGGACCGTCATTAGTCCACGTACTGGTGTTGTTCTAGTATTTTATTTTGTGCCTACTCGGTATTCAGAAATTTAGACTATTTTTTTCTTCATACAAAGCAACTTATTTATCGCCAGACAGGGCACCAAAACAACATAATGTTCGTGTTTATATTACATTTAAATTTCTTAAAAGTTTCTGGTTACAACATTTTAACCTATTTTGCTTAATTTTTTAAAATGCGAAATAGAGTAAATTAAAAGGAAATAGTATTGTTGATCCATCCGGAAACCCCGTCTATAAACAGCTAATGAATCGCACGAAAAAACGAGAGTTCGCCTACGTTATTCCTACGAATAGATCATGTCCTTTGGATAAGTGGGCATATTTTATGTAGATTGTGCATAATTTCGGAAATGTTCATTTGTCGTCAGATTTATTGCTATAAGTTGAATACAATATATTCAATATATAATTTGTAATGCTCAGATGCCCAGACGCCCTAAAATATTTGGTCTCATTCTATGTATAATACATATGTACTTACTTGCTTTTTACAAGAGTAGTGAAAAAATATCTAGAATCAGTGACAATTTTTAAAATTAAAACTACTGCAAGGGTTCGAATGGTACATATATGCAACTAGTCGTCTACTTCCTCCCTACTTATGTACTAGCTAATAATAACATTTTCTTTTCAAGCTTATTACTAAAGCAGTAGCCTGTTAACTTTGCTGTAAAATACTTTGCTGCACTTATATTTTAGTAGTTTTATACATGGTGGTAGTTGTAAATAGTATGTAGTATGTATATTTGAAATGTTTAAAGTTTATGGTTAATTTTATTCGCTAAGATAGCGCGGTATTATGTAAGATTAACGGGGTTGTAAATTACTTACTAATAACGATGAAAATTATGTACATAATTATTTCAGGATCGCATAGGAAACTACTGCAATTTCTTAAGAAGCATTATCAACTTTTTTAAGCATTCTTTTTATTTGCCAATTTTTGATTTATATTATTAACGCATAAAGGAAGATGTCTGGTTAATCACACAATTACGAGGTTCTTATTTTTTTATAGATGTTTCCGTCCAGAAGCGTTTCCAGAACTGATTGATCTAAGTAGCAGACATGAAGAATATTGTAACGAAACAAAAGAAAATATTGGCGATGTCTTATTTTCGATAACAGCTTGTTGTCGGAATGACGACTTTTGTAACGATGAACAAATTTCTTTTCCTAGACCGACTAGAGATCCACAAGGTTAGGGAAAAGGGGTCGGCATCATTTGGTGCGCTTTCAATGGACTCATTTATTCGGACTTTCAGTGAAAAGGGCCTGTCCTGGACAATGCATAATACTATGTATTATATTTCTTGAAAAATTTGGCACCAGCGACAGTCCTTTTAGCCAGAATACTTGTTTCATTTTGCCATTTGGGTGAATTGTTAACGTGTTTATGTTGGATCATTTGTTTGTCGATGGGTAATGATCGTTTTGGTCTCTTACGAAATAAGCATGATAGGTATTCATATTCTATTATAAAGCGAGGCGATTGGGAAAAACTATTACTTCACTTCAGCTATTTAAACAATCTGAAGATTAAAACTTGTTTTTGTTTTTAAAATGCCTTTCTTGATGATGATATCATACCCATTTCAGATAATGTCAAATCCAGTACCCTACTGGATTTAGTTAATTCTTTACATACTTTTCTCCTGATACAAAATAGATCAAATGTGTCCCGGACATGGACAGCAGTACTTTTTTCAGGACATGCTACGCTTTGAACTGGGCTAGCCTGACTGTAGGCTGTGTTCAAAAGATGACTTTTTAATTTGGATGATTTCATATACCTAACATAGGATGCAGTGTTTCAACCGCATTATGTTACAACCTCGTTTGTAATGTACTTACGTACTTAATACGTTTTTTTTGTAAAAGTGAATGGACAATGTGGTGCTCCATCGAGATGTAGAGGGAGGCTTTAATCAGCTTGGTTTCGCTTCATCGCATGCTTGAAAGCTTTCTCTAGCTTGCTGTTTTTGGTCTTTACGGTTATTTGTTTTTTGCATGCCCAGATAACAGATTCAATTGATCGATATATCTTTGTGTTGGTCATTAGATGCTCATTTGATGATGCAATGTTTTTGATAAACTTTTTTTATGTAGCATCCGAAGGGTCATATTTGACCTCCCTCGAGATTGCCATGTGCATCATGGTACCCACATTGATTGTCTGCTTGATAGTTATCATTTACTATTACTTGAAAACTGCTAATCACAAGAAACGAGGCCTTCATCATCACCTGCGCCATGGAGATGACAGTATTGAAGATCCTGATCATCCAATCTTGAGCAAAGGTGTCAGTCTGAAATACATGATTGAAATGACCACTAGTGGAAGTGGTTCTGGTAAGGTTTATCGATTAGCATTGACATAAATTCAGTTAGTGCTACATGGTAATTTAAATTTTCAGGTTTACCTCTTCTTGTACAGCGTTCGATAGCCAGACAAATCCAACTTATTGACATTATAGGACAGGGACGTTTCGGCGAGGTATGGAGAGGCCGATGGAGAGGTGAAAATGTAGCTGTAAAGATTTTCAGCTCGCGTGAGGAGCGCTCATGGTTTCGTGAAGCTGAAATTTACCAAACGGTCATGCTGAGGCATGAAAACATTTTAGGATTCATTGCTGCTGACAACAAAGGTAAGTCGAACTTCGGGACCCTCCTTCTTTTCTTCGGCTTTAACATAATTGTGTTCCACTACAGATAACGGCACATGGACACAGTTGTGGCTGATCACAGACTATCATGAGCATGGGTCTCTGTTCGACTTTTTGGGAAGAAACACATTGGATTCAAAGAACATGATTCGCATGGCTCTTTCGATTGCAACTGGTTTGGCCCATCTTCATATGGATATTATGGGAACCCAAGGTAATTGTTTCAGTTCAGTCAGAAATAAAAGCTGTTATAGAACCAATGTTGATCGCTATTTAGGAAAACCTGCTATCGCTCATCGAGACTTGAAGTCAAAAAACATCTTAGTGAAATCCAATGTCACGTGTGCAATAGGCGATCTTGGATTGGCAGTGAGGCACGATGTTACGAACGATACGGTTGACATACCTTTGAATAACAGAGTGGGCACTAAGCGGTACATGGCCCCAGAGGTATGCGATCGATTAACGATCGAGTTAACGAACGAACTAATACACAACAAACATCTACATCTGTTAATGTCTTGTTTAGGTGTTGGATGAGACAATGAACATTGATCAGTTCGATTCCTTTAAGCGAGCTGATGTCTACGCCTTGGGACTGATTTTCTGGGAAATTGCTCGGAGATGCAACGTAGGTGGCATCTTTGACGATTACCAGTTACCTTTCTACGATGCAGTACCTCCAGATCCGACTATAGAAGAGATGCGACGGTAGTTGTTTTTCTACCCAGTATCGCTCTTCAGATAATCCATTAAGATTTGTATTTGCAGGGTGGTTTGTTTCGATAGGCAGCGACCAAATATTCAAAATCGATGGCAATCTTGCCCAGCACTCCATGTCATGTCCAAGCTGATGAAGGAGTGTTGGTATCATAACGCCACTGCACGACTCACTGCTCTCCGGATAAAAAAGACTCTGTCTAATTTTAAGACTGCTGATGAACTTCAAATGTAGACAGTTACTTGGTAAGTCAGCTGATAATTCTTTGTTACCTTTGACCTGATGAAGTTTTTTTTACAGATCTTTATTATCAGGGACGTTTCAGGTGTTATGCATGTTTCGATTGTGTGAAATGATGAAATTATTAATTTTAAATCTTCCGTTATAAATACTGTAAACTATTTAGTAGGTACGTAATATTATTAAACGTTAGTCCTTTTTTCTCAGTGATTTTTAGGAGTATTACATAGGTGTTTTTTTGAAATCAATTCAAACAAGAGCGCTTTACTTGGCTGCCAGGAATGTATTAATCTGAAAGTTATTTATACAAGTATTTATTAGAAATACATAAGCTGTTCAGAGGTTTTAACTTGTTCACATTAATGCATTCCACGCATCAAATAATAGATAATATTTGTCGTCAATCATCTTTTCGAAAAGTATTATTAAATTTTTCTGAACGTTTGAGACAAGAAATATTCCACTGCCCGTTGAAAGAAATCGATTCATTTACAAATCCAATTCATTCCGTACTGTAGACTTGTACCAAATATTATGATTTACAGTTGATAATAATTGTTAGACATATTTTCCATAGACTTTATAAATTACCTATTTTGTTTTATAGTTTCTAGCTTCTCTTTATTGAGGTTAGTTCTTCGTGCTTAGTCACAATCGCGTTCTATCACAAAACCGGAAGGTAAAGTCGATAGTCATGTTGGTTGTTTGGTCCCCCAATTTTTTACGGAACAGACCTCATCTCAAATTCACTTAAACAGTGTTCGGAAAACCTAGTTTCCTGGCGGAAAAAACGGTTCAGTTTCCTATCAAACTAAACGTTGCGATATATTGTGTGCCAAAAACTCTATATGAATAACCGGTAAATTTCTAGTGATACTGATCTGCTACAATCCGGGAAATTGGGTTTCGATTATTCTGTTTCCGCTTGCCAAAYTCTTGCAATAAATAGTGTCAATTTTACCTGGTTTCATTACATAGTGTAAAACTTTTTTCCGATATGTTTTATATCAGTTGTATAAGAAAGTTTTGCATTTAAGCAGGGGATTTGGTACATATTCTAATAAACTTCTGCCATAGTTTTAGTCTTAAATTCTTTACCTATTGTACATTGGATTTTGTTATGTTGTATTTGTATCGCACATATTCTAAATTTTATCGATACGGTAAAATTGAAAAAACAAAGTGTTTTTTCAATTCACCCCTAGTCATTAATTAAATCATATTATCCAGTTTTTTTATCATGTACATTGTGCTAAATTTCTCAGTATGCTAAAAGTTGAAATATTCATGTATTGTACAATGTACCAATTTTAGTCATGAATGTGTGAATGTTACTTGTAAGTTCCTAAAGAGAAATGAGCGTAATGTTGACAGTAATCAAGCATACTAAATATGTTTCTACCAGGGCTTTTTCATACTTTATTGGGGTCACTAGTTTGCTGTTCTCTGGTTCCAAAAAAGGCTGATTAGCAAAACAATCTGGTGCTTATAGATAGATGTTCGGATAGGATTTAGGACAAAATTAGGAAATTGCTCCAGAGACCAGTCAAACGTTGAATGGATGTAAGCTATTACTTTATAGGATCGTGTGTAATTTATATTCTTCACATCTATTCTACTGCATCGGCGTAGTCAACCCAAATCGACAAAATAAAGTGCAATTTAACAAGTGGCGGTTTGCTAAAAAATTTTACTAAAATAGTTGTTGAGATCTTACTGGGAAAACCATAATAATAAAATAATAGTAATAATAATAATAATAAGATATTTTAACCAGTTTGAAAATATATTTACTACATGTATGTATATGAACAAGACTGATTCAACAAAACGGTTTTAAGTTTTTTCGAAAATGCCTAGTGTTCCTCGGAGAGTAGATTTGAGTGCACGCAAAACACATGATTGAACATAATTTAAAGAAAAATATATGAAATTTTGGCCTAATTGTAATTTAAATAACGACGAAACAAGAAATGTCATTGTGTCGTTGAATTTTATTGTTCTCTACTTGCCCTTTTTTGCTGTAAATACCTAGTGGAAAATCTAGTAAAAAAATGCTTTGTAGATGGCCGTCATTGAAGGTATAAGAACCTATTTTTGATTGATTAACAATAGCGCTGTTCTCAAAATGGTACAAATTCAATGTCAAGAGTTATATAAAGAAAAAACATAATTTTTGCCCAAGTGCCGACCAAAGAACATGGTTTTGTTTTTCGGGGTTTCAACATACAATGCATTATCATTTGATTAATTCCGTTCGATTGACAATAGTTAGAAAATACAAACAAAATCAAGTTCTTGCTTGACTGGCGAAAAATGAAGTTGCAACAAAGAATAGAAATATGAAGTAATACAAATTTCCTCAGGACAACCTAGATGTACACACAAACGCAATAGATTTAATAGACCTATAGGCTAGGCAGGAGTTAGAATTTCTACTTTTGTTCAATTCAATTTACTATTGGTAATTAAATGTTTGCATGGTGGAAATTTCTATTCTTGTAAGTAGAGTTGTAAAAATTAAGAATACGAAGTATAGAAGTAGAGCCGGGCTCGATATCCATATAATCAATATGGACTTTAGCTGAGACGTTGGGTGTTTTTTACTAATTTATGTTTTTTGAAAGCTTTTATTATTATTATTATTATTATTCTTGTTGCTAAAACTATGTCATGTAATATATAAACTGTTCCTTGCATTTTCACTTTTCAATATTTTTTTTGTAATGCTTCACAACATTTCAATTACTATCACATGATATGAACAGATCTTGATATATTATATGAGCATTAAACATGTTAAGTAATTTATTTGCAATTTAATTGCAATGGTTGTTCGAAATGCAATCTTTGAGAGCAGATCCAATTAAGGGTAAATATATAAGAGTTATTGTTTTTGTTTATTTTTATGTACAGTTGTTTCAGTTGAAAGCTTAGAAACTTAGATTAATATGACTTATTATATAAAATGTAAACATTCTTGCAAATATATTAATACTTCCAACCTCTATATATGTTAGCCTGTTAACCACCTATCCTTTATTGCAGCGGTTCTCAAACTTTTTTGGTGACGGACCTAACTAAACCAAAAGCAAAATGAGTTTGAGTTATATGTGCACGACGATATCTCGGCTTTTTTAAATGGAAAGTCCCTAGTTTGATTCCATATTTGTATTCAGCGTTAAACAAACACAACAGCAAAAGACATCTTACATTACAGGGTGATTCACAAACTTTAGGGACACAGAGTTTACTTCGGTTATTTCAGAAAACATGGGTTTCCTCTTCTTATTTTCTATCACGCAACGCATTCTTGATTTTAAGACGATACGAATCTTTCTTCAGCTTAGTTGCAAAATATGTGGTTGGCAGGTTTGACCATGAAAAAACTACTTTTATTACTAGACTACAAATTTTAAATGCCGGCTTTGTGTGTGACTTGTGGAAAAGAATTTTCAACTGATATTAATCGTAATAGACATGAAAAAGTGTTGTATGAAAATATGCTTATGAAATTAATATATTTGAATGTTGGCAAAGATATTATATTTGGTTTAAATATTGTAACAAACTAACGCAAGCTAACCCAAGAAATACAGAAAAAAACCTACAATCCCAAAAAAAGAAAAAAACACTAACTTGTAACTAATTTCAAACTTGATGTGTTTATATTCACTCGTTGCCATGGTACATGTCTTGTATATATCAGGTTTATGTGTGTAGGGGCGTTCGTTTATACTTAGAACAAGTAAACATCAACTACTATACAAACATATATTAACACTCCCAATCGGTAGACAATGTGTAATGGCAGTTCGTCAGGTGGTCGATCGAGAGAATACATCTGAAATSAATTTAGAAAAAGTAATTGAGTAACCAGTTCAACAAGAATTAGATTTATGTTATTATTATGAGAATCATTAAAACGTGTCTCAAAAACTTGGGTTGTTAAG